TCTGTAACCAAACAAAATTGAAGACTATAAAAATTATGGTTGTTTGAGCAATGACGATTTTATAGAATGATTTACATTTAATTTCTTACTTTTTTGAGGGGTGGTGGGTAAAATAAGAAAGATGACAGGCTTCCCTATATGTGTACACTAGAGGAAATTTAGGATTTTTTTTAAACATTGCCTTGTATAATTAAAACTGATATACTATTACAATATGAACTATTAGCTAAGATTTTATGCTATACTTATTGGTAAAACATAAACAAAGAATAGTTTAATAAAATTTTTGAATGTAAGACACAAACTTTGCATCATATGCAAAGTAAAGGATACCCTTGGCAATAGGGTTAAGGTAAATGTTTATATTTTATTTTCCATTTTTACTTTATCTTTGATTATTTACATCAACAAATATCAACTGGTACCCACAGGTGATATAATGTTATCATCAGCAGTGATGGTTTAGCCTCCAGCAACATTTTGTACACTTACTTAAATAGGTAATACTTGAACTGAGAGTTTCATTATAATATATTTGAAAAATCATTAAACCTTTCAAGTGTGAATTTTAAAACACAAATAATACATAATTAACTAAAATATAAAAGTAAGACCTAAATACAATTTAACTGTCTCTCACTAACTATAACATTTTTAAGTAAGAAACAACCACAAGTGCTATTGTGTATAAAGCAGCCAACAAAACTACAGGCAGTTACATCTACGCAATGACAACTGCACACCAATTTCAAAATAACCATTGCTGGATTATAGTATAAAATGAGCTCTTTCTAATGATTATACACTTGTGTGTCAAGTAAGTACATGTGGCTTGTAAATCTCAAGGCTAAGTATAGAAGGTGAGCATGGCATCTGTCAATAGTAGGCAAAATTTATTAGTTGTTTCTACTGGATTCAGCCAAAGAACTTTGAAAGTTTTGTGTCAATAGGGAAAGTAAACATACTTATTGTCTAGATATATATCTACGGGACTAGGATTACCTGATTCAAGAAAGAGACTGAAAAAAGTTGAGATTTTTCATAGCTTGTGGGTCACATGACAACAAAACTAAAGTTTGAGTATTTTTTTAAGGGTTTCTTTTAAAACAAAGCAATTAAAACTTAGATAACATAAAACTTTGAATTATAGCATACATTATAATGTCCATTTCATTAACATACATTGATAGTAAAGTTGTTTAATTAAATTTTGAATGTAACTCAGTGACTTGCACAGAAAGGGGTTTCAAGGGGTACCTGTTGTAAAAAGGTTATGTAACTTTTGATATTATGTTTTGTAGTTACCCAATTGGTATTAAATTTTTGATTCCCAATCGGTTTGATGACCAAATATATGAAGAAAAATGCCATTGCTTGTGCTTAATATTTAATGTATTTTTTTTTCAATTCATTTTAACCTGTAGTTAGCAGTAATTACATACTTGGTGAAACAGATGGCCTAATTATTAATACCATCCAAAACTCTATGACTGTTTGTATTCTGACCTAGTTTTATTTATTTATATTTTAGTTAACAAGAATGTTTGTTTGGTATTAAGCACAAAGCTACACAATGTGCTGTGCCCTCTGCAGGTATTGAAACCCAGTTTTTAGTTTTATAGCCCTTCAGACTTACCACAGAGCAACTGGGGGATTTTAACATTGGTGTATTTTATGACTGTCAGTACCTTCTATCTACCTTAAATGTTTTCAAAAGCAATGAGTGAATAATTTTTATTACTAATAAGAACCTTTTTCATTTTAATGGCATTATAATGGCATATCATACCTATGGTACTTAGAATCAAATATTCAGTTAATATGTTTTTATTTATTAACATTTTTTGATAATGAATTTAATTTTGAATAGACCCAACAGCTCCTAATCAAAAAATATTAATTCAATTATTTCTTGTTAGGCCTATTATATTTTAATCAAAGGTACTTTTTGATGGCAATTAGAGAGAAACTATAATAAAAGATGCAACACGTTATATACTACATCTTCAAACATAACTAACCTTTTAAATAATTTAAGCTTTCAATCTAAGAATGTACAAAACACTTTTAGAGATTGTATTTTAAATGAATTAGAAGGTAAAAAAACCAACAAAAATTCACTAAACACATACTGCAATAAAATGTAAAATTCTGTAATTGAAGTCTATTAACATCCAGAATGTAAGCCAAGCAAAAAATATTTGAGGTTGGACTGCTCACAAATTTTCCAGTATTTACATTATTATTATTCTGAAGGCATTAAACAATTCTTTATTTTATGTGGAACTGAAAGGGCCTGACAACACCTTCATAGTCACAGTAATTGAGGAGTTATGGATGAAGAATCTATGTACCACACCACACATAAGCTGACAAAATGCACTGAAATGGTTGCACCTCTGTGGTTTGCAACAAATTTTGTCATTAAAAATGGCTGAGAAAGTAACTTTGTCAAAGCTTACGTGCAGCTGCAAGAAGTCTAAATGTAAGTACCTGCTTGAAAAGTACCATCCTAAGTAACCAGGGAAGTTATCATCAAAGAACAAAGCTGTGCAACTCAAAGTTAGTTTCTTAAATCAAAAATGTATTTTAAATAATACTTGCCTTACTCACACTTATAGCTATTACTTGTCTGCCAGGGTTTCTTCTTTGCCCATTTATGCATTAGTCTGATTTTTTTCTCGCTTGCTCCAGTCTTTTATACCCCACTTAATTGCCCTTGGAAATATTTGTCTCATGATACTATCCACCTACATGTGTCTCTATCCTGGTACTGTATATAAGCACCTCATTCATATCATGTTATCACTTTTTCGAGATTGACCCAATCCCAGTCTCTCACATCAGCTCTTATTGGGGAGGAAGAGCAGGAGAGTGTGAATAGAGGTACGTTTTCTTGGAACTACATTTTGTATTTAAGAAAAATGATAACTTCTAAAACATACTTACTTCCTCTCACACTTATAGCTAGAATCTCACATTGAGAAGGTGGAGGGGCCAGTGAGGGAATTATCCATACAGAAAGCATCTGCATAGATAATGGGTGTGTCAACAGAAGATTGACATCCTAGTGGGAGAACCACGTTACATCCAGAACAGGTATGCTCTGCACCCTGAACATAATTCCTGCACTGTGGATGGAAGTGTACGAGTGATCATCACTATAGGCCAGGCCCAACCAGATAGCTGAGGTTCCACTACTCAGGGTTGGACTTAAGGGGCATTGGTCTCTATATCCAATGTTGGTGGCTAAGGCAATTGGACTGCAATGTTATATATGTAGAAATACTTATGAGTGGATCCCAATCTGTAGCCATAGAGTGATGCATTCCAAGCCACCAGAATCACAATGAGAAAGTAAGCAACACTGAAGTGGACAAACCTTCTCCTCCACCTGAAGAAACTTGAAAAGCAACACCCCCAAGCTCGGAATGACTGAATCATGTGTGTCGTACTCAACCAAAAGGAAACAGAACTCATCTGTTCTGTAATTATGGACACTCACCCTCACTCCCCAACTGTGTGAGAAAGGTATATTCCACTTGCCCCCAGAATTATGGGAAGGACGTGGAACAAACCGTGCTCAACCAAGGACTCAAGATAGGACCACTCCACATTCGGAATTATGAGGAGATAGTAGACCCTCTTACATGAAAAATGTATTGAATCTATACTGATCAAACAGAAGAGCCATGCACACTCCAACTAGATAGCAGAGCATCAAATCTGAACTGGTATTACTAGTAAG